AAAATCACTGACACGAGTCTGAATCTATTAGACAACTCATAAGTGAAATTTTTATTTATTATTTTTACACCATTTTAGGGTGGTCCGTAGAGGAGGTCCGTAGGGGTAGTCCATGGACTGGTCCGTAGGGTGGTGCGCGGACCCGGTCCGCTGTGGGGGTCCGCGGACCGGACCGGGGGTCAGTATTTTCGGGTTACCCATGGTCAAATTAAATTTAAATTTGAATGATAGCCAAAACTTTTTCTTCGCTAAATAAAACCCAAAATTCCTAAGTTAGCCGTCAGAAGAGACCAACACAACTTAGGAATGGTATATAAATTTTTGGTCAGCCAGCCACGATGAATTTTTATGGTGTCGTTTTAGGCGTTTTATGTGATCTTTAAATTGGTGGACGATGGGGGCCTTGACCCAGTAAGCACCAGTCCTCTCGCAACTAATTCAAGATGGCGGACACAACAGAGAAAGCCGGCGTGCCATGAGTTCAGTATTTGAATGGCAATGCCGGTTGCTTGTCTACGAGTAAGAGGTGGTAAGTAACGGATGCATCCATGGGATGAACTATATAGAGAAAGACAGGATATTCAGAACACATTAGTCATAGCAGCTTTCCAGCTAGTCAGCTTGCTTCCTTCTGTTCCTTGAATAACTGATAGGATCTGATGAATCTATCTGTTCCATTTTTGTGAGTAAAATCACGTGGCTACGTGTTTATCAGAAACACTAGGTTATAGGTATTTTCTCTGTCTTGTGTCTTTTATTTGCTTTAGGAAAAAACAAATGACGTAAAGATGAGTCTATGTTATGAGGGAAAAGTCATTTTAGCACCAATGGTTCGAATTGGTACTTTGCCTACGAGACTGCTTGCTCTCAAATATGGTGCTGATATTGTATATGCTGAGGTAAGAGTAGAGATCCGATTCTGTCACATTCATGAACATCATGACTACAACATTTAAACCAGTAAAGTGAGGTGAAAGTTTAAATAGAAGAGTTCATGCTCTAAGGGGCATTATGGGTAATCAGAGCAAATTTACAACGAAGGAACGCTCTGTCTATATGTCTGGCAGCTGGGCAGGTTTTTCAAAATACTCCGTGTCCAGCAGTCAAAATTACGTTATTTTTTAAAAATTTCAGTTAATAATATCAAATCCCTGTTATATGGCTGAATACTTCACTATTTCCACTGTAGTGTGAATTTTGGTGAGCCCCGCACATGGTATACCAGGATTTAGCAGTAAACATAGACTAAATGGCCAGCAGTCAAAAGCTTTTTGTAGGTTAGGCTAAATAGCACTCCCGTTAGTCTGAAAAGCACTGGTTAGCCTAAAAAGCACTCAGGTCAGCCTAAAAAGCAGTCCGGTTAGCCTCAATAGCTCTCTGGTTAGCCTGTTTATGGTTAGCTTTCAATAGAGAGTGTTCATGTGATGTTATCAAATTCTCAAATCCAAAACTAAGGAGTCCCTTAAGGTTTTATCCTCATCAGGCATAAGAGGTACTAAATTTATATCTGTTTACAACTTTCCAGCTCAGTGCATCCTTCATTTGGAAACCAGTGCATTTTCAATTTTGGATTCATGGCGGTGCGTGACATAAAGCTAAGATTACGTTTGTCGAAAAAGATACATTTATCTCGTGATTTTTAGCCATTTTAGGAGTTGAAGTATTAGGAAAAGTGCTTTTGTAAATATTTTTTGGTTTGGTTCAGATACATGACAACATGTAGTCAGTTGACTAGATAGCCAAAGTAAGTTCCAGATGTTTACACTATTTTCCGGCCGCCATATTGGAGGACTTAGGAGGTCCTCCAACATGGCGGCTCCATATTAGGCTCTATAATTTTGCACAGAACATTTAGATGAATATGTCAACTTTGGGATAATGCATACACCTTAAACTAGGAGAACTGTCTTCTTTATTTATCGTCTATAACATCACAATTTCTTGACTTTATCCACTGAATGGTTTTTGATTTTAGTTTTTATTGCACGACAATGAACACTCTCTATAATGCTTACAGTAACACTATATATACTTAAAAAATTCCGGAAACTGTTAGCCAGTTGTGGTGGTGCAGTGGTCATGAGTATTGCTTGCCATGCTGGCGACCCAGGTTTGATTCTTCTTGAGGTTGCCTGCTGCAGTGTTATTTTTGTTATTATGCCCGACATGGAATATATTAAAAGGCTTGTCTGGCTGCTGGACATACATTGTAGTATAGCCACAGCAAAGAAACAGACCCATAAAACAAATGTTTATCTTTATATTTCTGTTCTGATTTCACATTTGGAGACCAAACATAAAACGTAGACAGAAACCCCTGCTCTAGATTTACCAGCATTTTTGAGCCGATCAAGTGATTGTTGTGGGCGTAGGAATTTTTTTATGGTTAAAACCAAATGATTTGATGAAGTCTTAACCGCTTAAGCCACAAAAATAACATCTCTGTTACTCTGATAAGTAGGCTAATGCCTAGCTCAATTGACTGAAAAACACTTCTAGTAAATGTAGAAAAGGGGTCTCTCTATTTACAGTAAAAGTTTCTTCTTGAAAATGAAACTCAGCATGGAAATATGAAGAAAACATATATTTTGCCACTTTGTTTCTTTGCAATCTTGCCCTGATTACCTATAATGCCCCTTAGAGCATGTACCCCTCCATTCTTTATGACTGGCTCAATACTGTGACACAAAAATACATGCATGTTAAACAATTTTCTTCTATTTTTAGGAGATAATTGATTTCAAAATTCTCAAGACAACACGTATTGAAAACAGTAAGTGAATTAAACAAGTAATTCCCTCCATTTTCTCATAAAATGTGGTTGCCATATTGGCAGTTTTGTCTCTAACACTAATGCAATATTGGCATCACAAAGACACTAGCTCTAACTACATGTACACTGTAACAAGACTACAATGTATCATGTGAAAAAGCTGCCAAAGGACTCCCCCCAAAAAAATATTTCGGTTAAATCAGTTCAAGCCTCAATTTGGTTATGATTGTTCCATCAATTGAACAATATTATTATGGAAAGATAAGTTTTTGTTTTGTGCATTATTTGTTCTTGTCAGACATTCTTGGCACAATCGATTTTGTTCTCACTGATGGGACAGTGGTGTTTAGGACTTGTGAAGCAGAAAAACCACATGTTGTCTTCCAAATGGTTTGTGGCTTGCAACTTAGAATATTAACTCTTATTTCATTTATACAGTGCTAGTTAGCATAATAAATTATATCTCTTTTTAAGTTGATATTATTTTAAAATGAAAATTGACCATGCTTCTGAGCCAAACTGGGGATGAAATTTGTGTGCTGTGCCTGATTATTTTTAGCTCAACCTTATCATTAATTTTGAATTTGCAAATTGTCAATGTCAATCACTACAATCAGGTTTTTGTTTTCTTGTTATCTAGGGTACAGCAGATCCAGAAAGAGCTCTGAAAGCTGCGAAACTTGTGTAAGTAACTTAATATAGTAAATCATAAATTTTATACCTAAATAAAAGTACATGATACTGTAGTAATTAATACAGCAGCCTACAAAATGGTAACTAGTAGTCAAGTTAAGTTTAAGGCCTTGTTTTAATTGTGGAAAACATACTCAGTGATCAATAGTTACATGTATTGATAATAATTTAAAAAAACGACTACTTGTATTATTGAAGAGTTTGGGTATTACAAAATATCTTGCAGATCAA